CTCGTTTTGTCTGGTCTTCTAGACGGCAGGTTGTGTCGTGCCGACTCTGGCGCTGGTTCGACCTTGAACGGTCGGCCGTTGGGAGTGGGGAGGGCTTCTTAGAAAGAGGCTGCTTCTTAGAAGGCGCCAGCCTTACATCTATACATAAGATGACAAGACGAGTCCCTTCTAAGAAGCAGGGGTGCTTCTAAGAAGCCCTCCACCCTCTCCCCGCCCCCCCCTCTGCGCGTGGCTGACCTACCGTAAGAGCGCAAACGCCTCCAAACTCCACGGCGGACAGCGGCCCTGGGGACCCTATAGGGCCGCAGGGCTTTCCCTCGGATTTCCGAGACCATCGCGGAATTGAGGGTCCCCATGTGTCAACCCTTCCGGCCTCCTCATACGTCTTCCCTTCTTCCTGCTGCTACTCAGAGCGAGGTTGGACGGTGAGAACAGATTGCTTCAGAGTCTGCTTCAGGCCAACTCCAAGACGACCCCCCTCGAGGATTGGCTCGCATGCGTTCTTGAAAGCGCGAGCGCCGCACCCTGAAGACTGGCATGCTTGACATGGACGCCACAACTCCTCGTGTCGCCTTCGGGCCAAGTGCACCAGATGACAACGACAGAGACTCGCTGGAAACTAGCGTTTGAGCTGTGCCAAAAACCGCAGCTACTGCCTACGACATGATTCTGAAGAATTCGGGCTGAGGCAAACCCAAGCATTACCAATCGTAAGACAAAGGCTCCCACTCTCTCTCACTCGCTCTCTCTCTCTCTCTCTCGGAATCGGAGGAGGAAGAGGAAGACGAGGAGGAGGACGAGGAGGAGGAGGAGGAGGAGGAGGAGGAGGGCGAGGAGGAGGGGGGGATGAGAAGGAGGAGGAGGAGGAGGGCGAGGAGGGGGGGAGGAGAAGGAGGAGGAGGAGGAGGACGAGGAGGAGGGGGGGAGGAGAGCGAGGAGGAGGATGACGAGGAGGAGGAGGACGAGGAGGAGAGGGAGGAGGCGCGCCCAAGGGGGACGCGAGAACGATCAGGCTTTCTAAGAAGACGGCCGGGCTTCTCAGAAGCCCTCTTGCCTTCTGAGCAGTTTCCTTTGTCTTCGGAGAAGGCTGAGAAGCCTTCTCAGAAGGCCCGAAGCCGTCCGAGCCTTCTGAGAAGGCCCGCCTCCTCTCACCTCCCCCCGGGCTCGCTGCCGACTCGAAATGGATCGAATCTGTGGAAATCGGCAGCTGAGTCGGGAGAAATCGACAAGCTAGATTGCCCTAGTTGAGAAATCGGAATCCGAATGGGATTCCGACGTCGATTCGAATCGAAATCGAAAGCCATCGGAATGGAATGGAATCGAATCGGAGGAGTCAAAATGAGCCCTCTCTCTCATGAGTAGATATATATATATATATATATATACATATATATATACATAAACACACACACACACACACGCGCGCGCACGCTCACACACAGACTTTTTAAGTCGTCGGCAGCTGCGCGTACGGCGACGGCAGCGGCGACAGCCGAGGTCGGGCGTGGCTGGGTGGGGCGAGGAAAGCACGCGGTCCTCGACGAGGACTCATGGCGACGATCGGCGGCGAGCCCCGGGGGGTGAGCTCTCCGGCCTTCTCGCTCGCCGCCGAGGCGAACGCAGGAAGAGTGCCGCACCCTTTGCAGAGCAGCTCTGCGGCTGCATCACCGCCCTCGGCAAGGCCTCGTGAAAACCGCACGGGTGACGGCCTCTTGCCGCCGACAGGAGCACGCGCACTCGGACAGACGCCTGCGCCGGTTGCGAGGCAAGTCTTTAGGCACAAAGCTGTTTTTGCACTGCTGGCTCTCTGGTTGAGTTTCGACGACCAGGGCGCTGGGGACCACGAGCTCATCCTTATCTCACGTGGTGTGGAGCCCCGCCCTGTGGGCGATGGGTCACATGAATGTCGCAATCTTGCAAGTGTCTGGATTCTGTCCCAGCCTGGGACCGCGGAGCGCGCCATTGTGGGAACGCCCCTTCCAACGCATCTCTGCCAGGTCATTTGGCTGGTTGGCGACATCAAACGTGCGGGGCCGTAGCTGCGGCAGGGCGTGCAAAGCTCTGGCAAAGAAGCCATCGCGCAGAAACCTGACTACACGTTGAACTGCATTCTGCGCCCAGCCTTCCAAAGTTAAACTATCGGGGGGGTCCGCACGCAGCTTCTCTTGAGGCGTATCTTATGATGATGGATTCTGCCCTTGGTCCCCAAACAATGTTTGCACGGGTTCTTAGTTGTGTTGTTCAATAATTGGACGGGGTCGCCAGGTTTTTGCCACGTTGCCACCCCGTGCCGCTGTGGACGCCCCGTGACGTGGGTGGGCTCGCCAAAACTGCGCCATGCTGCCGCCCGTGCCGCCTCGCAGGTGCCCATGCGCTGGGTGGGTTCTCCGAGGTTGCGGCACGTTACCGCCCGTGCCGCTTCGTGGGCGCCCCGTGCGCTGGGAGGGTTCCCCCCGAGGTCGCGCCACGTTGCCGCCCACGCCGCTTCGCAGGCGCCTCGTGGGCGACCCTCTTGGTGTGAGCTTACACGACATAACTCTCACGAAGCATAGCTTACACCACATAACTCACACCGCATAGCTTGCTTACACACCATATGGTTTAACCTCCGGATCGCACCGCAAAATTTACACGACGTAGCTTACACGCCATAACTTGCACCGCATAGGTGTCACACCCGTAGCTCACAGCCCACAGATTACACGACGTAGTTTTCGCCACATGGCTTGTGCAATAACGCACTGTTTGGGGCCCACGCCGGCTGACATTATTCCGTACCCTATTCTCGCTTTGCCTGGACCTGCGGGGGATGCACGTCGGAAGCTGCTAGATCTCAGCTGGGCATCGCTGGACCTTGCCATTTTCGACCCAAAAAGAACACACCAGACTGACCTTCCACGCGTGCCGGATCAACTCCAGGGTAGCAGGCAGAATCGCGGGGGAACGTGTGCACGTCCGTCACGCACACGCAAACACACATCCTCCAACGGCGAGGTGACGACACAGTCGCGATGCGCTAAGCTGGGTCACGCTTAGGCGAATACACACACACACACTCTCACACACACACTTTTTGGGCGTCGCGGCCTCGCGCGCGGCGTCGGGGCGTAGAAATTCAGAGAGCGAAAAAATGAAGACGCGCGCGGCTGGCCCCTCAGAAGATGAGGCGGATCCACACACGCACACACTTTTGGCGGTCGCGGCCTCGCGGGCGGCGACGAGGCGGAGCACGTCAAGTGCGGCGGCCGAAACCCCGCACACACCAATACACAGGCACGTGCGCGCACCCTCACACAGTAACTGGTGCCGCAGCCGCGTGCGCAACGACACAATGCAGTCAGGCAGGCCCGACACGGTCACCCACACACACACACACACTCACACACATAAAGACCCCAACCACCAACGCTGCATAAGAGGACACGTGGTCGGTACGGCAACTTTTTCGCATTCTGACAACGAGGCATGGAAAAAACAACTTCTTCGCATTCTCGAGACGGAACAAGGCACGGTCACTTCTGCATTCCGGAAACAAGGCACGGTACGGCAAACGGGCACGGCACAGCACGGCAACTTGTTCGCACTCTCGAAACCAAGCACGGCACGGTACGGCAACCCTTTCGCGTTCTCGAAATCAAGTGCGGCACGGCAGGGCACACTGGCACGGCAAAACAATTGCTCCACGTTCTCGGAGCCACGCACGGCCCGGCGCGGTACGTTGGCACGGCACGGCAAATTTCTCTTACTCTCAAAGCCATGCAAAGGCGGCACGACACGCAGACACGGCACGACACGGTAACTGTTTTGCATTTCCAAAACAAGCACTGCACGGCACGGCAACTTTTTAGCATTCGAAGAAATAAACATGGCACGGTACGGCAAGACATGGCACGCGTGCGGCAGCTTTCTTGCAATCTGCAACGCAAAGCCACCTTCTTCAATCAGACAGGACCCATTCGACATCTTGGGGAATCTATGTCAGTGGAAACCATACGTTCGTCATGTATGAGTCCTTGGCCGCCAGACAGACATGTCGCAGCCGGCGAGTCGACTGGCGCTGTCGCCCCGCCCAGCGCTCTGCACATACTCACTTTGCCTCCGACGCGGCAATGGATTGCTGTCAGCGGTGAAAGGAAAAAACTCCGCCTTTCTGGACACGTGTGTAAAACCGTGACTCCCGACGAGTCCCAGAAGTAGCCGCCCGCTGAGCTGGAAAGTGCAGATGGCGCAAGAAAAGAGCAGAGAGAACGCCACGACAGGACGGAGAGGGGCGGAGGTCGGATAAAGTACAGCTGTGAGCAAAAACAAGATACTGCAACGAGGTAAAGTCGTCGGACCAGCGAACACAGAAAACGACAGGAAAGGCAGGACGAGGAAAGAGAGAAGAGAGCGTGAAAAGTATTGACGGGTGGCAAGAAATCCCGGCGACAGTACCTGTCGCGTAAGGTGCATCCGCTGAAAAACGATGGGAAGAACGCACGCGGACGCAAGGAATAAAAGTAGCTCGGGTTCATAGGGATCGAAAGCCATTCGCGCGGTCATCCGGGCATGAATGCGATTACGTTGCTATGAGATATCAGTGGAGCTTGACTGATGCCAACGAGGCCATTGGTCTTCAAGGAAGTGTGAAGATGGAGGGAACAGGGATGAGAGAGAGAGAGAGAGAGAGAAAGAAAAAAAGAAAGAAAGGGAGAGGGAGAGCTGAAAGACATAACAATATAATAGAGGGGCAGAAAACACTGTAAACATAAATTGTCGGAAGTCCGCGCGGAATGCTTAGATCTGCGCCGGACCCCCCTTCCCCGGCGCGCGGAGCGCGCCAGGAGCGGCGCCGGAGGCGCTGCCAGGGAAGCCTAGCGCCGATCCAAGAAATCCGCGCGAAACGTGAACAGCTTATGCTTCTGCCATTTTTCAAACTCGGAAACATAAGAACAGAGGCAGAGTCAGGCAAGCAAGAAAGTAGGGGGACGGCTGGGCCCGAAGACAGTCCCCGCCAGCGGGGTCCTCGTTCGCACTCTGCAGCCGGCGCGAAAGGTTGTCCGTGAAGGCCTTCCGAGCAGCAGGGCATCGAGGGCTGCGAGGGCATCGAGGGTTCGACCAGGGCGAGGCTTGCCCTCCGTCTCTTTTCCCCCAAACTGAGAAAAGCGCGTCCAGGGTCGAGATGGTTCAGGCCTGCCATATGGGGTCGGACCATATGGGGTCGAAAGATCGCGCCGCATCCGTCAGAGTGGCATGTATGCTGCGCGTTCGACCACGGACCCCTTGTTACCCATCGTTCCTGAGCCGTACTTGGCGCTCCTCGGAAGGTCTTCCGAGGTCCTGCGGCTTCTGGCGGGCAAGGGGTGCATGATCGAACACGTAGCAACTTCACATTACCCCCGGTGGATTTCAAGGCCTCGCGGGAATCAGCAGGGAGAGCGTAGGCGCACCCCAGGGTGAGGAGGGAGATTGGAGGGGAGAGAAGGGAGAACGACGCGAAGAAAAAAGAGGCGCGAGAGGCGAGCACGCAGACCCCTTTGTCGCGGCAGCATGGGGGAAAAGGGCAGACTGAATCGGAGAGTAAGGGCGACAGGTAAGCCGACATATTATGACACTGGGTGTGGCGGGGAACCTGCGAATCACAGAAAACGCATAATCCCACCAGCCCTCTGGGCACAGGTGGTCTACAGCGTTTCCTTTTCCCGGTCTTCCCTCCCCCTATTCTGGGAAGTTGACCTCCCCCCCGGACTAGGGTGGGCCCAGTACGGCGGAGCGTCCAAGGTGGCCCAATGTGGCTTCAAGAGCGCATCCGAAAGCCCAAGATGGCCTCCAACATGGCTCCAAATAGCGGGGCACGGTTCGAGATAGCGTCCGACATGCCTCTAAGAGGCCCCAAGACGGTCTCAAGACGGTCGCAAAGTGAAAAGTATGGGCACAGGGCTTGACCATGAGGTAACAAGCTGGTAACCCTAGTGTTAGGATAACGTCGGCGACGTATCGACGCATCCAACAACTCATCCCCTGATGGCAAGCAAAACGAGAGGTAGGAGAGAAGCCGTGGGATGGAGAGGTGGATCATAGATGGACGTGGCCTTTCCTCGGTGCTATGATCCCAACAATGGCGCGCAGAGTCGCACACCAAGCAAGTAAGACAGCGCTGCCTTGAGCCAAGACAACGTCGGATATAGCGCTCGCTACTCAGTCTCTCCTTAAACCTCGTTGAATATCGGTGTCCGGGCAAGGATAAATACTTGCCTGTGCTTGTATAGTTGTCCGCATTGATATCCGCTGGCCCTGAATAGGGCCCCCAATGTTGGCACTGCGCCTTTCTTGCCTCGATAGGGCATGTACTTCATTACCTCGCACTTGAAAGACCGATTGCCCTTCATTACTTGCAGCAATAACGCGCGGTCGATGCATCCCGTGGCATGGCCGTCAGCGGTTATGTTCCGTGCATCACACCACTGCACGCTATGAACTACACCTCGGTCCATCAGGTGTCTTATCCAGCCGATGTGCCCCAGCAGGGTGCACGCGGTCGGCTTCTTCAAGCTCTTACATGCGAAAAATTTAAAGACCGACTTAGCGCCCATGGTGCGGATGGCCTTAATGCTGAGACTACCTAGCTCCATAATGTTCTCAAGTAGAGTGAGCGCTATGGGGTCCAACTTTAAGCTCGCGCAGAGCAACTATGGTAGGGTAGCAGCCCTCAAGATTCTGAGCGGCTGCCAAGTGTTTCAGTTGAGTAGCTGGAACGCACCTGCAAGCGATGCGACTTGCACGATGCATCAATCAGATGTACTACTGCCTTGCCATGAGGCGCGTGCCCACGCAGTAAAAAGTTGCCCCCTCGGACGCCACGCCCCTTTACTTCGTCATACTCGGCCCCATTAAGGCGACGATGTTCCGAGTCACTGTGAAGGTCCGCTTTTCCTCTCTGAGTCATGAGTTGATCTATTATGTTCGTTGGATATTGCTGAAGTTTGCGCGCGACGGCACGAACTCTTCGCATCTGGAGGTTTGTGGGTCCCCGCGCACGTTGCAAGGTTACTTCGCGCGCCATTGGCCAGACCTGGGCGATGAATTAATGCGCGGAGCAAGGCGCCACGAAAACTGATAAACATGTCGGATGCGGCACTCGCTGCCTTGTCTCCCGCAACAGCGCCCGTGAGTTCTGGGCGCTGCATCGGGCGGAGCTGCTAAATGTATCCATCCTGATCTAGCTGGACGTGGCCGCCCTCGGCCTCAATGTGGCGCGCGGCGCAATTGGTGCAACAGCATTTCGTCAGTTTGCTTGCGCCGAACGCATTTTCTACACATCTGACGCACTCATCAATGATGTCCTCCGCTCCTGCCATGTGTGTCATCGACGTGCCTGGCTGTTGAGGTTCAAGCTTGATTCGAATTCTTCATCGTGCGACGTGGGTGTCAGCCCGAATCTTCACGCGATGGCTCCAGTCGCAGTGGGAATGCCCTAGGGGCCTCATCGGTGCCTGCGCCTGGCTCAAGGCACTGCAGACAGTGCTCTGGCTCGACGTAGGACCGTGACGAGATGTCGGGCAACGCGCGCAGCGCCGAGGCTAAACCCGGCGGAGGAGCCCAGCAGGCCATGCGCTCTCTCTCCCCAGTGGTTTCTGCCAACCCAAGATAAGTCAGACCTTTCAAGAAAAGCCTGCTCGATATCCGCGGATGCTATGATCCACGGTTTCGCGCGCGCGGCCGCGCCGGCGAGCGGTCTCTGGCTTCCTCGACGAGCTGCGCCTGAGAAGGCTTCCACGCCGAATGCTTCGACATCCATAAAGCCACGAAGAACAAGGCGTAGCCGCGTTGTCCGTTTCATTTCGCCTTTGTCGTTTTTGACCGACTTCCACTTGTGCGCGTATCGAGAGGACATGCTATTGGCAGCATTCTTGCCATCCTGCATCTCGAAAGTGTTACCATGCCAATGCTTAAACTCAGTGTAGAAAGCTTTGGAGAAAGTTGTCGGGTTGTCTTGAATGTCTGCCATCGTCAGGAGTTCGTCTTCCCTGACGACCGCAGCTGTTTTCGCCGCGGCTGAGACATGCGCGCGCGTTGCGGATACCTGGTCGCTGCACAAGGACTCGCATTGTTGCTCTGACAGAACAACCTCCGCCATGCCAGCAACGAATCATATCTCAACGTGCTGGCCGTGGTCGTCCGAATCGAGATCGTACGTCTCGTCGTATTCCGTGGTCCAAGGTACCAGAAAAGGTTTCGTCGGTGTCATGGCTCCGAGCAGAACCTATTTCTCGCAAGTGTCCTCGTTACTCGCTGGCCACAGCCACGAACGCGCGGCTGTCTGTAACCATCTCGGTGGGTACAGAGCACAGGGGCTCCCATGAGGGGGCCTCGAGCAGTTCCTCTTCCTCGTGGAACTCCATATACAACGTTTCTATGATGTTTGCTTCCAGGTCCGTTTCTGATCATTCAGCAGTGGTCGGTGGCCTGAGCGAGGCAGGCGCTGGAGGTCGATCCTCCTCTTGGGCGTGGCCGCCCGACGCTGGCGCGTCCGCCAGGTCCTCGCACTTTGAGTGGTCCACGTCAAAGCCTGGGTGATCTGTGCGTGCGTGGTTCAAGTGATGTCATGATGTTAAAAGCGGTAACTTCGGATTCGCAGAAATTAATCCCCGGCGTGACGTCGCTGGCTTAGCATACCAGGGCGCAGCCATCCGCGCAGGGCGCCGCCGGGAACCCGCTGATGATTTTAGCCAGACGTACCGCTACAACGACTCCTATCCTAAAGTAGTTTCTGATGAGGAACTGCAAGGCGACATGCACCCTGGGCGAGAGACGACTCGCTGCAATCATCCGCAAGATCCCTTGCTTGGTCAGCAAATGGCCAGAAACCAAAGCAGGACCCCCCGTGGGCAAGTTCGCGATGAAGGCCAAGGCTGTTCGCATTGCCATAGCAGCCGAGCAGATCTCGTGGACCATCAATACTTCAATATATACAGTGCGTAGCAAGTCTGGGCATTGCACCAAGACTTCCTGACCGCAGACCTGCGCCACTGCCTGGCCACGGTCAGGGTAGTTGCGGGCGGTGGAGCATGGGCCGTTCCATCCACCCCAGTCGTCCTTAGTAGTGGTCGGACGGTGGTAATCTACGAGATCCCCTGGCTGATAGTTGTGGCGTCCCGCTGTAGTCGTCTCTGTGCGTGGGGCCCTGTTGGTTTTGGCGGCTGCAATGGCTTGTGTAATGGCGTCAACACTTATTTATCGGATTCTCTGTTCTCGGTTGCGATCGGACGTTTCCATCCCGTGTTGGTAGTCCAGTACCAATTGGTCTAGTAGACAAGCCGGTTGTCGTCCACGCAGTGCTTGGCATGGAGGCACCCCGATGGAGAACGTAAAAGCACTGCAGACAAATAGGCCATCGCGCAGTAAGCGTGAAAAAACAATGGGATGTCGTGTCGTTTTAAGTCTTCTTCCATAAAATGCATGGCGTGCCTCAGACTGCCGCTGCGTGCTTCGACGGCGGCGGCGCGCTGACCTCGGGCACGAGTGCGAAGTTCTGCGCATGTAGCCTTCAGGGTGGATTTGCCGGCATCATTGTTCATAGCGCCTTCGCCGTCGGAGCGCAGCACTGTAGCTGGGCCGCGCTGCATCCAGCAATTGGGATTTTCGTCCAATACCGCGCGCATCGTCCTGTCGGCAATCCCTCGGCCTGTCGCCCAACGAACGCATCGGTCGACAGTGTGCAAGATATGTTTGCAAAACATCAGATCACGCCCGACTTCGTCGTTGAATTTGCCAGGGGGTCTTGAAGGCATAAAAGTATTACCTGGTGTCTCCCAGGCCCTGCACTCACGGCGCGAGTCTACTCCTCCTTATCATGTTGAGTCATGCAAGATCATTCCCTGCGCGCGACAGAATCGTGCGCATCTTTGGCTCAGAAGCGTGATACCAGCGCAAGTGGAGCTTTCGTAACTCTTTTAGCGCGGTGGTCGGATCGTAACTCCGTAGGTCTTGGAGACGTATCTGAATGTCAAATCTTGACCAATCAGGTAGCCGAGCACGTGGCCGTGCATCCGCTGGAGGCGGGGGAGGAG